GGGGGGGGGAGGGGGGGATTCAATCAGTTTTTGCCGTGGCCTTTGCACCCCGTAACTGCTTTCAACTATAGGGGTTGCAACGATGGAAAATAAGAAATTGGAAACGCGACTGATTTATTCTTCGGCGTTGAAACTTGTGATATCCAATTTTCGTACATAATTTCGCATTCATTTTCTGATATTTTTCTTTTTTTTTTTTTTTTTTTTTTTTTTTTTTTTGAAATCAAGAAAATGGATTACTCTCTTCGATCCAGTGACATACGGTATATAGAATCATTAATAAAATTTTGGAAGAATTTAGAGTTTATGATCTGAAATACATTTAGAATTGCGCCTCTGGAAACTTAAACTGATCGATTCCAATGTTTATTGTTTTCTTAACTCCAATGTTCAATTCACAAAGAACGAATGACCTATTTCCGCAAATCTATTTATTGCAAAAAGATGATATAAATATTAATAGGTTCTAAGATAAATTTAAAAACGATATTTTTAACATCGTCGTATTTTATACCTCCTAGTCTATGCATTGGCCAATGAAGCCACCGAACGGTTCAATGTACAAATAAAAATAAAAGAACCACGATATATTCAGAATACACGTTCAGAATTATTATCAAAAGCAAAGGGCCACTGCACACAACTAAGCCAGCAGTGTGCAACAACGGGCGAGAAATTCCCAAACGAAATTTCCATCGAACTGAAACAATCCGCACGCCTGCACGATCCGAGGCTGAACAATACGAAAGCTGGCTGTCATACAGTTTAAACAAAGATTCGACGAGGAACTTTTTACAGGCCATAAACGCTCGCTGCTGCATTTCGAAGCGCAGTGATTCCGCTTTGATCGACCTTTCGTTGGGTCGTTTCCGTCGAGTGCACATATCGATCGCGCTCAGGGCCCTCATTGTACCGGGGTGCTGGTCTGTACGGTGACATACTGGTGGCTGACAGAGGTGCTCCCCCGTGGTGAGCACGGCCAGACTCGTACCAAGGGTATATCGTAACACGAGCACGAAAAAAGGGGGAGACCGGTTCTCCTAATTCATGGAAATTCGTGAAATTATCTTGACCGATCGACGGACGCTCGATCGAAGATTAATAGCCGCGATTCTCTGTGACGTGGAAATTCCATTCTGGGATGAAATAATTGCTCGACTTTGTTGCTTCTCGAGACACGGTTATAAATAGAAACAGTGGAAAGTATTTGCGAATGCGTGGAGGTACGATTTAATCGTGAAGCTTTGAGAGAAAGAGAGAGGTCTGAGTGCCTCGTTGAAGATTGATGATGACACGTTCTTGCTACGACCTATTTTCGTGATGGATCGAGCGTTTGAAGTAGCCAGTACGTTAGACAATTTACACAATTTTTTTTACTCGTTGTCGAACACCTTTATGCATCCTGCAGAAAATGTAAAAATATGAAAATGCATAAAATTTCCCTCGTTTCTTTTTTTTTTTTCTTTCTTGTAATTATATTCTCAAAGATGTGAATTATTTATTTTACCTTTACAAATCTACTTTGTACATTTCTGTACATCTAAGTTCCCCAATCTTTCATTAATCAAGTGTCTAAGAATATTTCAATGCTCTAATATTGCAATAATTTGAAATTAAATGAAATTGATTCCAAAATTTTGATTTGATTTCACTCTGGAGTGCACTGTACCACAGAAAACTCGATCTAAATGGAGGAACAAAGACGACGTCGATCAAGAAACAAACTCACCCCCGATCGTATTTACCCCAAAAGACCGTCGACAGATAACGTAGGGTGTAAAAAGAAGATTCAGACAAGCATCTTTCGGCATCGTATTTCGGCATCTGTTTAGGCGCGAGGGTAGCGAGCTTTTCACTGCAAGTTGGCATTTGCAGGCTTTTGTGGTGAACCACGAACAATGCCGGTTAGAGCACTACGTCATGGGACACACCCCGCGAACACCATCAACGTCTATTCCACTTTCTCTCTTTCTTTCTGCGCACGATGTACGACGGTAACTGGCTAAAATATGGAAAGCCTTATTTGATCTAGAGATCAACGCCCCCGGTCAGAATAAATTGAATTAATGAGGACGAGAGGTGATATCTGTTTAAAAAAAGTAATAGAAAAAGAAGCAATAGTATTATTAATAAAATTAATCCTATTTATACGATGTACATGGAGGTATCAGTAAAGTGACAATGAAACTATTGTTTTCGTTTGGATTTTCATTTAATTTCACGCACATGATGCATAAAACATAAAAAAAAAAAATACACAAAACATCAAAATTAAAATATCTCTTATGGTATGAAAGTATGGTCTTCATTAATTGAAATTCGAATTTGTGTAAATAGTAATAGAAGTTTGATAATTTATTAAACGATTTATTAAACGTAAGTAAATTTATTAAACGATTTATTAAACGTAAAGTAAATTTAATTTATTAAATTTATTAATCGCCTGTTATAGTAAATTAAATTAATCTTTAAAGTATTGCTTTCATGTCTGCATTTTTACATTCTCCGAAACATTACACGCAACTTCTGATCTTTCATATTTATTTATTACATGACTTTCGTAAGTTATAACATTGATGTTCAAAGTATGAAAAATAACAACGAAGATAGTTTACACACGATACGCAGAAAATTATCGAGATAAAGATTTCGATAAAATTCGTGTCGTTAATAAGGACTTGACAACAACTGCCGAGAATCTACACGCCATGGTTTGACTCTCGCGATGGAAATATAGGGGACAGATGTCTACGGGGGGCAGGTGTACCCCAATGTACGCGTGCCAACCAACCCCCCACTGCGCTGCCATTCAAGACTATAATTTACTTGAAGAATGCCCGAGCCAGCCAGGCATTCATCCCGGAATGACGTGGATTACTGGTCCAGGGAGCAACCAGTCCTTCAAAGTCGATCGGGAATCATCGAATACCCGACGATCGACGATAACGTTAACGATCCCTCTCTTCGTTGTTAAAGAAACTT